CTTAAAGCGCTGTGGTACATAACCATCCATTAAAGACAAATTAAGTAGATCCTAAATGTGGACATTAATTAGGGGAAATACCTCTTTAAACAGTGTGGTTGGGATGAGATCTAGCAGGCATGTGGATGGTTTGGATGAGGTTTTTATTTTTGACAATTCAGAGCTCAACAGGACAAAAACTGTCCAAACATAAATCAGGCTCTAGTGAAATTTTTAAAGTTGCCTCATTTGACAGGGGACTAGAGATAGTAGAAGGAAGGATGGTTTGAATTTTTTCCCTAATTTCTTGTTTTTCAGGAAGGTTTGCTGACTGTCATGAGGTCTCTGAACTCGGTGAGTAAACTCAAAATGCCATAAATCAGACTTTGTTCAAAACCAGGATTCAAGTTAAAATACCTTTAATCACAGTTTAAAACATCCAACCTCAAGGTAGAACCTTTGATTCCAGGTTTAATACATTTAAATCTTGGACATAATCTCTGATTTTAGATTAAAAAATATATCAGGATCAAACCTCTGATTGCAGGATAAAACTTTTTTTCCCCACTTCCCTCCGGAAGGAGGTTGAGGAGAATTAAGGGGCCGTTTACACGGCGTGTATTTTGAGTGAATCCGCAGCTTTCTCTCTGCGGTTCTGCTGATCATTTACACGACACCATTGCCCCCCCACCCCCCTTTGAATCCAGAGGTTTCTGAATCCATCTTCCAGAGTGGAGGTTTTTCTCTGACCCCCCCGCTGATGATGTAAACATCTCCCGCTGAGGCGTTGTGTTAAACCACATGCGCACACGCACGCACGTACAGACACTATATTTCTATCAACATGGCGGCGGACACACTGCTTTCTGAACTACGACTGATGAAAATGAATGTGAATTTTGTACCTTCACCTAATGCACATGCGTGCTGCCTCGGCCCGCTCCTTTCCTGTGAGCTAAGGTCGTTTTCACACCAGATAGACTCGGTTCGGTTCGGGACCAATATTCATGAGCTTTTGTTACATTTGAGCTGGTGCGTTTGCATTCACACTGCACTGTGCAGTCGAGCCAACCTGTTGAACCAACCTGTTGAACCAACCTGTTGAACCAACCTGTTGAACCAACCTGTTGAACCAACCTGTTGAACCAACCTGTTGAACCAACCTGTTGATCCAACCTGTTGAACCAACCTGTTGATCCAACCTGTTGAACCAACCTGTTGAACCAACCTGTTGATCCAACCTGTTGAACCAACCTGTTGAACCAACCTGTTGAACCAACCTGTTGAACCAACCTGTTGAGCCAACCTGTTGAACCAACCTGTTGAACCAACCTGTTGAACCAACCTGTTGAACCAACCTGTTGAACCAACCTATTCCCCCGCTCGCCTGTGGGGGCGCTGCACCAAGAACTACTGAAAGAAACAACACAAAAAACTCTGAAGACACGTCTTCTTCTTCTGTAAATAAAAATAAAAACGACGTGGCATCAAGTTTTAGCAGTTTTATGAGTTATATTTTGTCATTTTTCAAAAATGGACTTGGCATGAGCAGAAGATGAGACAGAAGACCATGGAGAATTATGTTTTTCACACAAGGCAGCTGACGGCTCCATATAATAGAAATGTGTGTTTGTTTACCCTGCGCAGCGGGGCCCAGTCTGTTTACATTCACACTGTACTCGAACCACGCTGGAGTTCGCTTCTACCGGACCGAGACCTAGGTTTTAGCCCGGGCCAGAGTTCACATTTTTGTTCTGTGACAGAGTTCGATGGTGCGTTCACACCTCTCTAAACGAACCGGACTTTCTAGGAAAACGAGCTAGAGTTCGATTAAAGTGGACTAAACAGGGCTGGTGTGAATGCACCTTAAAGTTCAGCTAACAACAACTTAACAACAAGTTAAAGCTGGATTCTGGATAAGACTCAACAGATTTGACGCCAAGCAGGACCGCTTCGTCTAACAGCTCCACACCGGTCGCTGAGTGGACCAGAACCGAGTCGACGATGTCGGACTTTACTCCGTGATAATCAGTAGCTGATTTACAGCAGGTAAATCAAATGTTCTTAATAATGTTTGCTTGTGTTTACTTTGATCACACAACAACAGAGTTTTTATTTTTATTTTTCCTGAAAGAAGAAGAAGCTGTCCTTCCACCAGGCGGACCGGTTCTGAAGGAGGCTCGGCCCAGGTGCAGTGCAGGAGGACGTTGAAGAGAGAGATGTTGGATGAACTATTTATTTAAAATTCTCCTCAGTTCTTTTATTCATTCCATTTAATATTTTAAGCTGCATTAATCAAAGGAGTGACAGCCTGAACGAGCCAGATGAACAACGTGGGACCAGAGACCAGGATGAAAACAAGAGTCCAGTTCATTGATGTAGTTTACAGTTAACGTGTTTTTAATAGTGTGTTCTGTTTAATTATCAGTGTTTGTGTGACATACAGTTTGTGGTGTTGAATAAATAAATAAAAATTAAACCTGATGTCTTCATTTTCAACTTTAATAACACACAATATGTTTAGCATCATTTTAATCACATAACTTGAATTAATGTCCAGATAGTTTCATTATAACACTCACACTAACATAAATACTGTTTATTATTATTAAACTTATTATTTAGCACATTCAGTATGTTATAGTGCAGCGCGCCTCGACAGGCTCGTTCTATAAACAGCGACATTAGAACTGGATCAGACTGTGTCTCTTCCAACACAGATGTCGGTCACAGCACCTGGAATCTGACGTAGATTAACTACGAGATTAAAATATATTCCATCAGTCGAGGTTCTGAAAGCAGTGTGTCCGCCGCCATGTTGATAGAAATATAACGTCTGTACGTGCGTGCGCATGTGGTTTAACACAAAGCCTCAGCAGGAGATGTTACATTATCAGCCTCTGGAAGGTGGGGTCAGAAACCTCTGGATTCAGAGAGGGGGGCCACTGGTGTTGTGTAGATGATCAGCAGAACCACAGAGAGAAAGATGCGGATTCACTCAAAACACGCGCCGTGTAAACGGCCCCTGAGGAACAGCTTCTACCCTGAGGTTGTTAGACCCATGAATATCTAACCAGGATAATCACTGTGAAAAATCACATGTTGCTGCTGATCCGTTTCAATGTTGCTTCTGATCTATTTTATGTTGCTGCTGATCTGTTTCAATGTTGTTGCTGATCTGTTTCAATGGTGCTGCTGATCTGTTTCATGTTGCTGCTGATCTGTTTCATGTTGCTGCTGATCTGTTTCATGTTGCTGCTGATCTGTTCATGTTTCTGCTGATCTGTTTCATGTTGATGTGTTCATTTGTGCTCATCTGCTCACACAGACTCATGTTCGTGCTGCTGTTTTGGGTATTGCTTTTGTACTCATTCTTAGTGTATTTTTCGTTATTTTTTTTCTTAGTTCATATCTTAGATGTTATTACTGTTTTTCTTATACATTTTATTGTTGGACGTAACTGGGACCCTGTGTACATAATGTCGTTTGAACGACAATAAAGAACCTTGAATCCTTGAAAATGTCTGATTCTAAATTAAAATGCCTGTTTGAACCTGTTTTTACAAGTTGTGAGGATCACTGTTCCTTCAGGAGTTTTATCCATCCATCCATCCATCCATCCATCCATCCATCTATCCATCCATCCATGCATCCATCCATGCATCCATGCATCCATCCATCCATCCATCCATCCATCCATCCATGCATCCATGCATCCATCCATC